CGGAAGCCGGCCTATCATAAAGACCCTTCAAAAAAAAAAAAAAAAAAAAAAAAAAAAAAAAAAAAAAAGAAAAGTATGTAATGAGGCAAGAGGTTAAAAAGGTTTACTCTCCAGGTCAGTAGATGGTATAGCGGTTATGTCACTGGACTCCCACATGGTCAACTACAGTTAGAGTCCTGGACTTGGTAGCTTGAAACTCATGCCGGGCACATGTGCATGTGTGCCTAAGATCTCAGGAAGAGAATAGAGAAGGGATTGCAGTGTGGCCATCCCCCACGGGTGTGTGTGTGTGATTTCTCACTTTTCCCTTCACTGTATCTTTCTCCCCAGCGAGTACACACGCCCTTAGGCAAAAACCTCCACCAAAAAAAGGCTTGCCCTGATTTTTAAAAAGAATTATTTATCATTATTATTATTACTTTTTAATTTGCTAGAGAGTATGTGCTCTCACCAGAGAGAGAGAGAGAGAGAGAGAGAGAGAGAAAGCTGACAGGTCTGGGACTCAAACCACAGTTGACCATGTAGGAGTTCAGTGCCTTCACTACCATACCACCCACTGGACCAAAGGTTTACGCTCTTATGTGGTTAAAGTAGAAATAAAAGAAAGTAAATAGTAGCTTATGTAGCCACTCAAACATAATCTTTCATGTGCTGGGTTTGTGTTAAAGATGAGACAAATTACTTAGGCTTAAAATGTACTGGGGCAAAAATATCTTGACACTTTTTCTACAAAAGAATAGAAAGCACAGCTTGTAGGGAAGCAATTTCTACATCTACATTTCTACACTATTCACCTTTTAATAGAGATAATTAAACATGACAAATCTGGACCCTAAAAAGACTTCAGAGCTTCTGTGTGAATAAATGCCCATGGTGTCTATAAGCCCATACGCCCATGGGCACATGCAGCTGCACCTGTGTCTGTCACATCTACAAGATGTGCTAATGTCATGGCCAAGTTCACAGGGTTATGATGAGAAGCTAAGGAGAGGTGCAAAATCTACATCCATCTTAGTTATCTGTGGTAGAGCTGTCTTAGCTTTCTATTGTTGTGTGTGGGGGGGAGGGGCAGGAAGTGGCACCACAGAAACAGCGTGTTCAGGATTTCTTGCTCGTTTAGAAACTGCACATCCAGAGGGGCCGGTGGGTGGTGTGGTGGTTAAGGGTGCTGGACTCTCACATGGCCAACTGTGGTTCAAGTCCCAGATCTGGTAGCTTGCTTTCTCTCTCTCTCTGGTCAAATTAAAATAAATCAATAAATCAATAAAGTTAAATAAAAATAATACTAAACAAACAAATGGCACATCCAGAAAAGTATATTTACCCTATAGTAGGGGCACAACAGAAGGGTCTCATTAACAAGCCTGTGCTGAAATCTGAGCACCTGGGTTGGTATCTTGTGGGTAGAGGTCTCCATCAAGGTCCTTAGATCTTTCCAAAAATAACTTCTGGTCAGCACCCATAATCATGTGCATAGGGCGCTGGATCCTAGATAGCTGACCATGGTCTGAATACCAGTCTTGATGGCTTGAAAGACACAGGACACATGTGCACGTATGCCCAAAATTCTAACAGGATGGAGAAATGGAAGAAAAAGGATTGCATGCTCGTTCGCTCAGTCTCTCTCTCTGATAAGTGCATATGCCCTCTGGCAAACAAATATATAAACAAACAGAAAACAAAAATGAACTTCTTAGATGGGATTCATAGTATTCTCTTTTACAGTGCTTCTCACAGTAGAACAGGAAATTGGTGAGAGAAGACACCTCCCCCCCCCCGAGGTTTTTGCTATAGGGCACATGCGCTCACCAGAAAGAGAGAGAGACAGAAAGCGAGAAATCTCCCCCTAGGGGTGATGGCCATGCCGCAATCACTTCTCCTCCATTCTCCTCTCGTGATCCTGATGTGAGTTTAAGTCACCGGGTCCGGGATTTGAACCGTGGTCGATTATGTGGGAGTCCAGCGACACAGCCATTATGCCAACTGCTGGTCCTGGTCAGAGACTTTCTAAGCATGCAGATACTGAGAGCTTTAAGGAAGGCATCAGGGAATGAATGGAAAAAAGAAGAAATGAGCTTATCAGTATTAACTTAGACCAGAAGTCAGGCCTGATATCAAATCCTAAATAGTTGCCCAGAGTCAGCTGATCCTGACAACCTTACAACTAAATAGAATAGGCCCAGGTCTCTCCCAAGCTACTGCAGTGGCTAGATCCTCAACCAAGGGAACTCACACACAGTCATGACTCTTCAGCCAAGTCCCCTGAATAAACAGGCTGCACTCTCAGCAGCAAGAGCTGAGAAATCCTTGCCAGGCCCAGGCGCAAACGGATCCTGAGGGATGCCTGGTTCTCTCTACAGGCTGAAAACAGGGTCTGCTGAGCAGGACAACAGAACAACCTCTCAGAGAGTTTTCTGGAGGATGAAAACCCTGTCTTCTCATTGCTCTGATTTCTATCCCTCTCAGCGAGCCTAGCTGGCCATCACATACTACAAACAGGGTTTCTAGGGAAGGCAAGCATTCAGTACAGGAGATGTGCATTTTAAGCCAGAGGTGAGGGCACTGTATCTAGCAGTGACCACTTAGCTTCAAGAGCTGTCACTCCTTACCTAGG